CTCGACTGTTTCGTTTTATTGCAGAAAGAAAAGTTATTTGTGTACAGAGAATTTTCCTCGTTGCTAATTTTAAGTCCCAGGTTGAATGAAAAATAGGCACGGATACGTGGAAAAATTTATAAATGTTATCGGGCGGATTACGGACGGAAGAATTACAAGGAAAAAAAGAAAAAATCTTCAAACGTATGAATATTTTATTATTAACGTTAAAAATATAAATTTAACGGATCAATATCGGAAAGACAAACTACTCCGCTTTAAAAAATAATAATATATTTGGTTAGAGTATTATTCGGAACGAAATGGGCACGAATACATTAAATTTTAACCGTGTTCTTCGGTGGGACTCCTTCGGTATTCGTCATTTCTTTAAATTATCGTCGATTAACACGCGAATTAAGAATTTCCATCGTTCGCAGTTAATTTTATAGAAAAACGGAAACTTGCGTTTAATATTTAATACGCCATTTTCTTTTTTTTTTAATAATCCGGATAAATTAGGAGGAGTTGTCGTCGAAATTTGGCATTTAACGGGCGGGTGGTGGCTGGTTTTTTGTTCCCGTTCCACCTAAACGCGTGGAAGAATGGCAAATATTTATTTAATTATCAAAGTTATTAAAATGCATCATTTGGAATAGTAATGCCAAATAATAGGACGAACGGAGACGAGCGACAGATTAAAGGATTAAATGGGAGTTTCGCGCGAGATGACGAGAATATCCAGCGTACGCAATTATGAATTGTGGCCAACTTTGGCTCTCGACTCTTCCTCTCCCCCCTTCTCGTATTTTTGTCCGGGAAGGGTCGGTTTTGGCAATTAAATTCATCCTAGATAAGGCGAGGGCGGTGGAAATACGTGCGGGAACGTGGCATTCTCTTTTGGATTTATAGGAAATTCTCGGAATTCCGGTTATTGCGGGAGGAAGAAATATTTTTTAGCCACAAATCCTCTTTGCCAACGGAAGCGACCACTGGCAACATTTCAAAGCTTCAATCGGAAAATAAAGAGAGAGGATGAAGAGAGTAGAAGGTTTTCGGACAGTTGGGCAAAGCCCGACTGAAGGGAAGATCCCATAAGGGAGACAAAACATCTCCCCCGTGACTAATAGTGCGACTTAGAAAACCGGCCGGCGCGGTGGCACACTCGTCCGTTCTGCCATTACTTAACCGGAAGCGGCACCGCACGTGGCTCCTTTCCGCCTCCACTCGGCCATTTCCGGTCTCTAACGCCAGCGATAAAGAGTCCCTTTCGTAAATAAGAACAAATTCGATCTCCTGTTCGAATTAGACCGGAGCTTTTCCTATCCGTTTCCACCGAAGTCTAATAACTCCCGTATAAACGGGGTTATATTTATTTAACTGCCGCAACGAAATTTGATGCCGTAACGTCGGCCATAAAAAATAAAAGTGGCAAGAAGCATTTTATTTTATTTTGTTCCGCTATTTAGGCGCTTCCTCCCCACCTCCACCCGGCCCAGCACTTTTGTTTAACGGAAGAAAAAGAGGAATTTTTCAGAGTCGTATTAATTCCATTTTTGGAAAGAATTTTACTTTTAAATTTCCGAAATTTTTTTTTTACTCCTTTTCCCTCGGCACCTATACGTTGGGCAGATTGGCCACGTAAACGTCCGTTCGACAGTTATTGCCCGAAGTGGCATTTAATTCCATTTAGGAAATGGGCATTAATTTTCTTCATCGGTAGACGAGAACGGAATTAAATAACGTTTAGACCCATTCCACCGTCGAAAAACGTTCCTCGCCCGCATGGGAAAATCCTCCGGAGTGGGCACCATCCAACCAGAAGGGGGGGAAGATAACCTAATAAAGAACCGGTACATAAGACCCGGCATTAAAACGGGTATCGAAAACGCATTAAATAATCAAATTAGCTAATAACTCGCAATTTCGAAGTACATTAAGCGCGTGTCTGGTGCATGCAGGAATGTCATTAGCCGTTCTTCTCTTTATTGCAATTCCCTTTATTGTCGACCGAGGTACGTAGTCGGCAATAACGGCGCAGCAGGTAACCTCTGGCAGACACCGTAGCTTCTTCCTCCTCCATGTTTTTACCGGCTTCTCCTATTAAGCCATAAATTCGACCGACTTCCATTCGCGGATGCCGCCGTTTAACCCAAGAACCAAACTTGGGAATCATAAATCACGTGGCGGGACGATGACCGGCAATTGGCAATCTTCTATCGCGCGGTTATTAAAACCGGGCGCTAGAAAGAAACTGGAGTAATAATTCATCCGCAGTCTAATTGCTACCGTTTAACCGTTCCCGGATTGGCGCAGAAGATCAAACACTCGCGCCCACCAAAGGATTTTTTTTTTGTGTGTGCCCGCGCGCGAGTGCCGCGGCTCGAAATCCTTAAAGTAAACGTTTATTAAATATAAGCGCGGAGAGGTAAACAAAAGGATAAATCGAAATCCTACCGATGTTTGCTAAACAGATGATTATCCGGATTCTGGATAATTAATTAGAAGTTTTCCGGAAAGCGATGCCACCGGATCGCGCGTATTTTTTTTCCACTGGCAGAAATGTCTTCCAGGTTCCTTTTTTATCCGTCGGCTCTCCCATAAATTAAGATTAAAAACTCTCCGGAGATCTTCAGATATATTCGGAGTAGGTTTTTACTTTCCGAGAGACATTTGCATTTCGGAAAAATGATCCGAATTTCGGGAAGAAACAAGACAATGGACGAAAGGTTGCGTGTTAAATCACTGCCTGCAAGAATATCTGATGAATTTTTAATTCCCGTTCGAAATTTTCTGTCATTTGCAATTTTATTTATAGGAACGGAGGCGGAAAAATTTATAAGAATTTCATTAAATGATCGATCGGCTAGGAAACCGTCATTTTTTCTTGAGGATTTTCCTCAGCCCGGGGATTTTACATAATGAGGGAGGTATCGTCGTTCGTCATCCCTGCTGGGTTATTCTTTCCGGTGACGTATAGAGCCGCGGAAACACTTCCATTAATGGAAAGAATTTAATATAAATTTAAACGGGACGTAGCCGAAGAATTCTTCCAGGTCGAGAGACGAGGAAAATATCAATCTATATCCAATTAAACCATTATAAAATACGATAGGCCCAAGCCGTTTTGCAGACAAATTTGTATTTTAGGAAGAGATAAAATTTGCAAATAAGAGTAAAGGGCAATAGAGATAAGGCCGGAAAGAATATTAAACGTTACAAGTTTTAAAAGGGTCGTTGCCAGTCGAGAGAGAGCGAAAGTTCTTTATCAAAAAAGAGTGTTTACGTTGGGGATTGTTTGAATGAATTCGGAAGACATTCAAACCGTTTTACGATTTCTGTCCGTGTTTGTCGTTTGTCGGACCCGGGGCCGTAAAATTCGGTCGTTGTCGACGCGATAAAATGCGAATATCTACTCGCTATCTGTAAGGGGCGTAAGAAACTTCGACGTCGCTTCCCGCGGAAGATAGAAGAAAAGGCCAGAAGTTGGGCTTAATACAGACATCTGGCTAATGGTTCCCCGGGGGACGACGTACATTTTCTATTTTTATCGCCTCGATAACCGAAATTTTATGTCTTCGGGTAACGATCCGAGTAATTTTCGTCGTTTCCTACCTTTCCCGGTGACAAATTTGTTTATCCTACATCCACTTTAACGCTTCTTTCTTCGCGGCTCCGGATGGCTTCTTAATCCCTCGCCCGATTTACAACCGGCATCTTTGTCCGGACACTGCCAATTGCCGTCGTAACCGGAAACCCGATTACGAAATACCGTTGGGCTTTATTTCTTCCTTTCTTTTCCATTTATTCGGCAGAATTTCCTCTCGAGTTGGTCCGACGTACCGCCACCGGTACAGTTCCGGCCCGGGATAACGACGGATGCGCATATTTTATAAAGTTCCTAATAAGAAATTCCGGTCGGAGCGGAGGGAGCAAATTACGTAAGAGAGAATGGCGGAAATAACGGTACGTAACGTCCGGCCAGCGACGTACGATTTTGGAAATTCGGTCACGAAGCCAATAACGAAAACGGGCCGGGCCATTAGGATAAAGAAAGGAAACGGGGACGGGTATAAAGCCGTAAAGAAATAGCGTAATTCGCGGGCTTGATGAGGAATTTCCAAAAACTTTCTTAATAACGGAGTTTGTATTCGAGGGAGAAATAAAATTGGAAAGATCTCCGGGCTCTCGTTTAACCGTACGCGGGCGGAATTCTATATCCGGAAGCGACTCACCCTTTATCGAATTTTGATGGCCGAAGCATCCGGGGAAAAAGAATAATTCACCCCGGTAACCAGAAAATTGCCGGATGGCCCGCGCCTATTCGGGCGGGCCGGGCCCTTCCTTTCCACTTTTAATGCGCGCGCCGGGCCCAGGCGGCTTCCAATTTCAATTTTTCTATACTCGGTCCGAAAGAGGCATCGATCGGTCGAACGACACCGGCTAAATAAATAAAAGGGAGGAAAATCGACCTATCGGTTTTGCCGCCAATTTACCACGCCCGTCGGCCCGCGTGGTTAAACCCACGGCCCGACCGCGGCGGTTAACATCCGCTCTTCTTCTTCTTCCCAACAACTCTTCCCGCTCGTCAAACCGGAAATTAATTAATGACTGGCGCCATCTTCGCCGCGCCATCTACCAGACGGCGCGTATTTATTTCCGGCCGATTCTATCCCCTCCGCAGAAGGCTCCGTAGATAAGAGCGCGGGTTTGACAATACGGAAAATGTGTCGACAATTAGTATTTTAGGGCGGACGAGTTGGGAAAATCGGCCCGAATCCGACGTATTTACTCTCGTTCTTTCCCTTCTCCGACAGACAATGCGAAAGAAAACACTTAAATGATTAAATTCCCTTTTTTTTCAACCTAAGCGCTTTTAAATCATTAAAATTTCTCTTTTCTCTTTTCGACCTCGGACATTTTAAATCCACGCGCTCTCCTTAATAAATGCCGACGGCCATACTTAAATTATTAACGCCCTCTACTTATTTATTTATTTATTTTTTATTTTTTTTTTGCAGTCGACTACGACGTCACGTGTTCCGGCCAACACATGAAGGTTACCATCAACCTGGAAGACAACGGCACTCGCGTCTATCTGGATAAAATGAAAGGTTACTCGGGTAGGTGGCTTGGCACGCGGGTAACTTATTTTGCTACGTATTTTTTAAATATCTCTGGTTGCAGCCTGTCAGCCGAAACTGAAGGGAAACGTGGCTGTGTTTAAACTCTCTCTGACCAACATATATAAATGCGGAACCATCAGGATGTACAATAAGTTAACGGTGAGTGACGTTTACCGTAATAAACGGCCATCTAACTCGCGCCTTTTTTGCTTTTTTTAAGTAAAACAATGAGGCGGGGGGACCGTATCCGGCCCACGGACGGGGGGGGGCGAAGAGTGGTTCCGCCTTCGCCTAGTCCGGTCGTTAATCGATAATCGAATTATCGTGGTAACCGAGGACGTTTACGCCGTCGGAAATCGTCCTTATTGTTCTTCCGGCGGAAAATTAAAAGTAGAAACTAAGAAGCTTTTCCGTCGCCATTTTAATGTCCTTTCGTCCCTTTCCAGGCGGAGGGATTCCCCCTCCGGGTCCGATCACCGGTAAAAGGGGCGGGACCGAAGCGGGAAAATCGGGGGGGGGACGGAAACTTCCACCCGCCGAAAAGCCGGGGAAAATTCGGCGACTTCCGCTTCTTTCGGAGGGGGCGAGAGAGGGGACGGCCAAAACCACGGATTCGGGAGCGACGGAGATCGATCCGCTACGGGGGGATTCTACCCGGCCCGGGACGAGGTGGGAGTAAGACGGAGGCGAAAAACGAAGGCCGGTTTTTCACGTCCCCGTCGGTCCGGGGTGGCCCAACGCCGGGCTGACGGGTCTTCTTCCTCTTTCCTTTCAGGGCTTCAAAATCTATTATCATCGGATTATTCTAGAGCGGAAGTCCGGACCCAGAGACGTGCTCCTGGTCAAGTGCGTGCTGCCGGCCGACGGATCCAGATACGTTCCCCACAAGAAGAGCAGGCGGGACGTTCTTCCCGGAGACTTCTACGAACCCGAGTGAGTACCCGGACCCTCGACCGAGGGGAGACGGCACAATTTCGTTCCTCTTCCGAATTATTTTCCCCGGCGGAAGACCGACGGGTGGAAATCTTAACGGCTGTCGACCGCCGGTCGATCCTTCCGCCGCCTCCCTCTAACGGCGGAAACCGTAATTAATAAATTCTTCCCAGACGGAGTCCAAGTGTTTTTTCCTTTTTATTTCCGAAGAACGGCGGAAGTAAACGGAGGGGAAATTCTGCGGTTTTTCCCCGATTAATTGTCAATTTTCGCAGCAGAAAAAGTATTAACTTTTATTAATACTACTACAATAATTTCTCGTACATCTTCCTCCCGTTTTCTATACTTTGACACTTCGGGCAAACGGCGAAATTTTCAAAAATTCACAAACCATACGCGCCCTCGTTTACTTTTCCACCCGCTCTGTTCGGACACCGCGAAAACGAAAACCGGGAGACTTCGGTTGCCGTCCTCCGGAAAAAACGCCCGGACCGGAAGTGGCCTTTCTTAATACCGTTTCCGTTTCCCGCGGAAACTCCGGACACTTAAATAAAGCCCCGGTGGATCTTACTTTCAGATTCCTCAACATCACCGGATCCATAGTGAAGTACGCGCCCGTGCCCTACCTGAACCTGGCCATCCGACAGAACGGAAGAGTGGTGGACGCCGGCGTCAACGTCCAGCCCGGAACCCCCCTGGAGATGGTCGTCTACCTGGACGAGAAGAGCGCCCGTAAGTGCCTTCCTCTTCCGCTCTTTTTTAATCCCCGGGGCGCCGGCGGAGAAGGGAGAAGAGTAGGAGGCGCCGGGACGTTTCCGTCTTCTCTCCTCCCCTTCCCCTCCGCCCGAACTTTCTTTCTTTCTCTCTTCGCTTATTTAATACGGTACTTATTCCGCCGTCTGCCTCCCACAGCAGTGTACGGTCTGCTGGCTAGCTACCTGAAGGTGACGGACAACACGCCCAAACACGAAGAGGTCATCGTCATGAACGGGTGAGTGTCCGCTCCCGGGTCCTCCCCTCCCGTCCTCCCTTTCTCACTCTCCCGGCCTTTCAGGTGTTCCATCGACCAGTACATCTTCGGTAACTTCGAGACACCCGACGACGGAAACACCCTGTCGGCCAAGTTCAGGGCCTTCAAGTTCCCCGAAACCAACTACGTTCTGTTCGTCGGCACCGTCAACATCTGTCTGCAGCGATGCAAAGGGGTGAGTCTCTTCCTCCCTTCTGGCGCTGCTTTCGTTTCCCCTTTCAACCCTCCCCTTTTTTCCCCAAGGTGCCATGCGGTAACGGCAAATACGGCTTCGGCAGGAGAAAGAGGGACGTGCCGTCGGAACTGCCCAAGGACACCAACCGGCTGTACGAAGTGGAGATGACCACCGTCCTGAAGGTGGAGTACTCGGCCGACCACTTCCGCCCCAAGAAAGGTGAGACGGCGCCCGGACCGCGGCGCCCCCTCCCGCCGGAAAATGACCTCCGACCTCTTTTTCGTTTCAGATTCTCTCTTCGGAAACTTCGGCCGACTTCCCGCTTCCGACGGATCGCTCTCCCCTTCCGACCACCGACTTCCGGCCGCCTCGGAGGCGGCCCCCGGCCCGGGGGCCGGGATCTCGCCCTGGATTCTGGTGGCGGCGCTGTGGCTCCTGTCCCTCGACTGAGGCGTCCGCCGGGCCCCTTCGTTCACGTGCCAACACCTCGACTAACTCGACCGCGGCCGGGTCCCCGTCCCGGGTGGCGGTATCTAGCGGTGACGGGCCGAACTAATCGATCCGCCGTACTCACCGGAGGCAGCTATTTTACTTAGTCTCTCTCTCTCTCGCTCTGTCTATCTCTCTCTTTCTCCGTCGACGGGTGGGCGTCGGCGCGCCTTTTTCTTCTCCCGTCCGTCGGTGTGGGGGAGCGAGGACCCGGCGTTCCCCCCGTCGGCGGCGGGAACGTCCTCGGCACTTCGGAAAAAGTAACGAAAATCGGGTGGGGGACCGCCTCCCCGCGGACGACGGACCTCATTTGTATAACTGTAAAAAAGACGAGAGTTATTTTACTCCAAAAACACGAAATATATATATACAAAAACAGTCACACGTTTGACACGGTTTTAATAAAAAAAAATACCCGCAATTCCTGGCAACTTGTGTTTTTTTTTTGTCGGCCGCCGGAAATACGTCATCGCGGACGACGGGAAGTGGTCGGGGCGGACACTCCGCACCCATCTCGGCCGTAAGAGAATTGTGGAAAGGCGGCTTTTTGCCGGGAACCTCTTCTCGTTTCCCGCGAGACGGTCTCTAACCACCTCCTTCCATTATTTACGGGGAGGAGGATTCGACTATTTCGTCTTGTTCCCTAGAGAGGGCGCTTCTCTTGGCCGGCGGCGGGCGTCCCGAAAGATATTTTTCCTCATCCCGGCGGACGAAACTTTTCCTTCGTTCCCCCGTCCGGCGGGAATTGCTCTGGACGGGAAGAGGAAAGGAAATATCCTGGGGAGAAGGAACACGTTTATCCAGGAGGAAAACGCCGTTTTCTTCCCCCGGCGCTTAGTCGGACCAGGAATTAAAATTGGGAGCGTCCGGAAGAAGGGCCAGTCGTCCCGACCATTTTCATAAATAATTAATAAATACGTAGAACGAGCGGTGGGGGACGAAGTGGTTACCATCCCCGTAACTTAAGGTTACTTTTACTAACAGAAACCGAAATATTCCGGCGCGTTTTATTAATAAAGAAATTCGCTCTTCAAAAGAAATAACGTGGAAAGGGGAACGGGCTCCACCTCGAGGGCGGCGGACGGTCCCGGATTCGCGGGTGAAAATTTCACCCAGACAGACTGAGGAAAGTAGAAGAACCGAGAGGAAACCATCGTCTACTTCGGCGGTTCCCAGAATGGGCCCTACCGCTCCCAGCGGCGCAAAGAAGCATGGGGGGCGGCAAAGGGTCTTGGAGGACGAGACTCGGCCGAACTGTCACCATAGGGGAACGAGGGTGGGGGTCAACACCCCTTTCTTCTATTAAAACGGGTAAGAAGAAGCATTGCGTGAAATGGTTTCCAGATATCGAGAACAAAGTATGGTAAAGACACAAGTGATAAAAATGGGCAACGAGCCCATTATTATCGGATCGAGTGACTTTCAAATAATGGGTTTTAATACAGCTGTATAAAAGGCTTTACCAGGCGAGTCAGATTCTTAGAAAAGCTTTTGTAAGAATATTTCCAAGCCAAAAAAGTTTGGGAATGGTCCATTGGCCGATATCCGAAATTCGACACGAATTACTGATTAGAAATGAAAGCTGGTACCGTAAATAGTAATGAAATTATTTATTTGATCAATACAAACACCCGATTATTATTATTATTATTACAGTAGATCGTCGTTTATCAGAAAGTCGGTTATCCGAAACGTTGGTTATCCGAAAGTCGGCAAATTTAAATTTTCGCTACTGCTGTGGCGCTGCAATCTTTGGCTATATCTTGGGTTACTCCAATATTTTTTATGTTTGTGTATGTTTTAGCTGGCAGCACTGTCACTTTTGTGTAGTGTTTTTCGGGGACTGTGTGTCGTGCTGAATCGAACGTTTTTGTTAGTAGATAACTTCTAAAGTATAAATTTTTTTCTTTTTATACTTTTCAATATATTTATTTTGTTTGTAAAAAATAAAGCAATAATTTTTATCGATACAATAGCCACGATTATTATTTTAAAAAGTTTACGTTAGGCTTAACATCGACGAAAATTCAACGCGAAGCGACACGCAACGGAGAAAAATTTCAACACGGGATGGGTTAATGTATTTTTCGTACATGATCGGTTATCCGAACAACCCCAGTCCCAATTGATTCGGATAAACGACGCTCTACTGTATTATTATAAGGACCCATTCGCATCGTACAGTAAATATAATGGATCCATCTGGCTAGAATCTTCATTATCCGGAGTTATACGTTATACGGTTGGACAAATGAACACGAGATTTTGTTATAAAATGAAAAAAGACTTAATTTTGAGGGTAAGGATGAGTTTCATAAAACATAAAGTCCGACCTCTCTCGAAATACGACGAATGACACTCCTCCACCTCTTCATCCCTTCAACTTTCAACAGTCCAATTTAATCTCATTAAACCCCGTAATACACAAACGTATGTGTAAAATTTCAGAAATGTACGACAAAAGGCACGGAAATTATTAAGCTTCGAATCGGCTGAACAAAACCGCACCCCCTCACACACATACAAATACACCCATACATACAGAAAAAAATCCCGAAATGTTTTGCATTTCTCGACTTTTCGAGGTACCCCGAGTGCGTTAACAATTAAAATTCTCTCTGGAAGTCCCCATCGGTGTCGGTTCCGTCGTGGTATTCTCGTCGGCGGTATTTTGCGCGTGTAAGCTAAATTTTGGTAACAATTCGTAAATAAGGAATTCAAAAAATGACCCGCAAGATTTTTACGTTTTTGTTCGTCAAAATTTTACGTATGATAAACGGTCTGCGGCCGCCCGGGATACGTAAAATTACGGCCATACACAAACTTCCCGTTTAGACCGGAGGTCACGATACTTCGATTCAAAATTTTCCCCCCAAACGAAGTTACATAGATAACCGGCACGACTCTATTGCTAACAGGAAAAGTGTGAGTTACAGGGGAAACCCCACAACTAAAAGAATTGAGAACATTGTGACGAAAAATTGCAGGTCGGCACAATAAATAATCGCTAGTTAGGATTGGTTTGGTTTATTTGGTTACGGCAACACCACACGCGAACGATCTTTCAAGGAGAATCATTCCATTTCGATAGTGGAGTGTATAGCCTTACGCTTTGTACTCCGGAAGAAACAGGAGGGGTGATCGCACAGCGACCAAAGAGGCGGCCTTATCGAAGACGACTGATCCGAGGAAGACAGGAGAGAGGTCACGGAGCGACCAAAGCTGGCCTTATATGAGGCGGACCACGCGAGAAGAGGGAACAGAATGCCTTCCGGGAGGACTTGGAGGGGAAGCTGGCCCCCATTCAGGAGTCATTGGCAAGGAGGAAAACCAGAAAAACTTCCTCTGATCCAAAATAAGTACCACGCCCAATATGGACATAAAGACAAACAAAAAACATTCTAGCCCCATTAAGATGAAAATTACGTAAAACCCATCCTCCAGCTCGTCCGAGTGAGGCGCGAATCCCCGATCGAACTCCGGTGTTTAGGGTCTGGTCACCACCCTAAGGCGGAGACGAAGTCCACTCGGCCTTCGGTGGGCTTTCAAGGAGAATGAATTCCAGAAAGACTTTTATGTAAAGCTGGCCGCTATTTAGTTGTTACTGACACGAAGAAAACCCAGAAAACGCCACGTGACTAGCTCGTTGGCAATGCCAGGAACCCACAATTAGGTAACTACCAGTGTTCGGTGGTTTAATGCAATCGGCTACTGGAGGGCACTTTTTAGAATTAAGAAAGTACCGTTCGGAAGTGCATAAACCCGGGTTGTTAGATGTAAAAAATTAAATACTTATATAGTAGACCCCTATAACACGGTAGATACGTTCCGTGTTTTATGAATTCCATGTTGTACTAGTCACTTAAATACATGAGCCAATCACAGCGCAGCACGTATGCAATTTACGGACTACGGCTGTTTGAAAGGTTTTCTTCCATAAAATTAATCGATTGTAGACTAATTCGACTCAACATTTCCAAAACACGTATAATTTTTTGAGAATAATCCGTATAAACTACTTTATAAACAAAAAATTATAGGATTACTTACGAGTGTGCACCGTTCAACTACGCTGTTGCTTATGCTTGTTTTCGTGGCGGAGCGGCGCATCGAACGGCGGGCGCGTGTTTTCTCGATAAGTTATTTTTCTGCGAAAAATTCGCCGAACTTTGGAGACATCATTAATATAAATATAATTTTTATGGCCGTTAATTAATTAATTAATAATAAATGGTTTTTAGTAGGTCCGCCGCTCGATTAAACTCGACGGTTTGCGCAATATTCGCTATTGGTCTAGATTCGACCAATCCTGTGGCGACACGATTCGGCGATGACGTTTTACCGTATTATACGAGTCTCTTTTAGCGTGTTTACACGAATACGATCGCAATTTTTTCACCGTATTATATAAACCCGTTTTATAGGAGGTGTACTGTAATTATAAATACAAGTTAACTTAAAATGCGACTAAATATAAAATTACATTCGTCTTTATATTAACGCAGTTATGTTATGAGTAATGGAAAGATTCACACGAAGATACGTACCTTTCCTACAAGCAAAATTAAATCATTACGAACGGCTCTCGATAAAATATGGCCACGAATAAATTCCCTTGTCAAATAATTACGAGCATGGAGTGACTTGTATGCCTTCGTCCGATCCAGTGTGACAGCGTTAGTTGTTAGTTGTTAAAACCTAATAATTTACGTTCTATAGTTGGCCACGTGGTTAAAACGTTGGATGAAAAATCCATTTGTTTCATTTCGTATGGATCCCATCCGATAAAATAAGTTTTCTCTTTATATTTTATCAAATCATTACCTGTCAAATCGGCTGCAAAACCTGGTAAAATTCCTTTCTTTCGCGTTGACATAATAGTGATCGAGCGAGATAACGCGAAATCAGTAACTAATATGGCGCGCGCTTCTTTGCGCAGTCTCCGTATATGTGAGCGGAGTCGTGTGACGTCACGCGCACCCCTCTATAGAAAACTGGTAAATATTTGACGAAGACGTTTGCGCGGTGCACCAACGAAACAGTATTTAAATCTTACATTTATTAAACAATAAAACTTTTACTGGTAAATACTAAGTTGGCGCCTTTAATCGCTTATTTTCTGTTGATAAGGATAAAAATAGCCTTAATTCTATAGGGGTTTGCTACCGGCGTCTAATGTTTCTACGTTGACCTATTTACATACAGGGCCGGCCATCGGGGGGGTGCGGCGGATGCTGTGCACCGGGGCCCCGCGATTGAGGGGGCCCTAACATTGTCAAGAATGCGCAAGAAAACTCGACAATATTCCTATCGTTGTCAGTATGACGAAAAGTACATTTTATCGTAAACATTATTATTGTAATCTCTGAATTTCGACAATCTTCAAACTAATTCTCGGTGATGCGAATGTTTAGTTTTTGTTATTTGATTCGGGAAACTCCCNCGGGAAAGTAATAGGAAAATATAATTTCGTGTTTGTATCGCCAGGGAGAAAGGCGATTTGTAGGAAATTTTGTTAGCGTTATTAGGCTAAACGGGATTTAATAGGAACACTTCGACGCGATAATGCATTACTCGTATACGAAGGATGTAAATTTAACGAGTACATCATCTAAATTACATTATAAAATAACTGGATACGAAATAATTGAACGAATAAACAATCCAAACGATTTGTATTATAGAATAATAATATCCAGGCAATTGTTGGAATTACACGTCGAAAAAATGGCAGAAGAAGAATTGGACATTTTTAACATCAAATGTCCCATTTGTCTGGATGTTTACGTCGACCCGGTCATCCTCACTTGTGGCCATCTCTTCTGCATGAAGTGTATCAAGAATACCAACAATATCACCAAAACCTGTCCGATGTGTCGCTGTCCGATAAGCAATATTAAAAAGAGAGACGATCGGGTCAAGGAGGTGAAGAACATCATGGCCTCACATTACGCCATCTGCCATTCGTGTGGGGAAACGACTGTCTTATCCAGACTACGTGAGCACGTGACAGCGTGCCAAAAGGCCGCCAAAAATTCCAAGAAGAGAACACCCGCTGGAGCGAAAATCATTCGATGTGGATTGTGCCAAAAGAGAATCGCGCCGAACGGACTGTTAAAGCGCCTGAAAAACAACAAAAGACGTGGACATTCGTTGATCTGTCCGCAGTGCGCTTTAAAAAATGCGACTAAATCGAGATCGGCGCATCGTTTAAAATAGACGAACAAAATTTTCAACGAATAATTTTGAATCGAAATAACGCTTCGTTTCGGCCAATCAAAATGCGAAATTTCTGAATTTTAAGTCATTAAAATTTGATTTTATTATTTACGAATAATTTCTTTATTTGCAACAAATGATATAAACACGAGACTTACGTTTCGGATTCTTTATAGATCCGTTGGTGATAACGACTTTTTATATTTTATCAATTTCGCGGAAACACAAAATAATTTGTCGATTCTCGTGGAAACACAATGGCGGGCGGATTTATCGTTTTGTTCGATTGGCAAACGAACAAGGACACGGGATTTTAGAGGTTCCACAAACTTAGTATTACTCTTTCCGAGCTGTTATGTATGGTATACGTGAAGTATTGGAATCGTGTGAAATTTGACCCTCCGGATTTTTTGCAAATCTCCTTTTTTTGAGTCAAGAAAACTGGAAGAAACTGCCATGGATATACAGTACATGTATGTACTGTACGTGTATATCTATATGTCTGAAAGTGTGTATGTGTCGGGGGTTATCTGTTTTGTTTAGTATCCGAGGATGCAGTAAGCAGTAAGAAACGAAATACTTCAAAGTAACTTGTTTATAAGAAGTATCTATGCTATTAAATTTTGGTGGTTAAAGGTCGAGGAGTGGGGAGCTAGATGTCGTGTGTCATTTCTCCAGAGGGGTAGGACTTAAAAACTTTTACTGGATATTGGCATTTACAATAGTTTTCAAAACGCGTCACTATTTTTAAAATTAAGTCTTTTTTTATAATTAATAACATAAAAGTTATTTTTAATAATATCTCGTAACACGCGACGGCAGACAATTTTTAACCTTGATCTAGTGTCGTAGTGTTTTTTAAACGTGAAAATCTCGTTTAAATGAACACTTATCATAATTAAACAAAATTACCCCACGGGTTTTTGTTAATATATTTTATATCGTAGCATAATTGAAAATTACCGGACTTTCTAATGGTATCTTTAATCTCCCGTTCGAGGCCGAGAGGATGGAGCGAGAGCCATTGCTAGATTGTTTTTTACTCCCTTCTGACGAATGACAACCGACCATTTCGTCACTCAAAACAATACTTAGGCACTCCGGTGCAATTTCTGATAAGGACTTTGGCAGCTTTAACAGGTAACGAGCATCCACAACGTAGGTACCGGCTTAGTTTGGTGTCGTATTATTCCGCGATACGCCAAAGCCGATTTCCGTTGGCTCAGCCACCAATCTGACATTTATTATATTGTAACATTTATACTTAGAAAAGAGACTTAGACTGCGTACTCGAAAGAAGTGCACGCTACTACTCAGTTAACAAAATTAATACCCGTTGTTTTATATATAGGATTTACATGTATAGGATAGTATAATTATAATAGCAAATCGTTACGTAAATCGTAGCGGGTTCTCACCGCTAGAGAGAGAGTTTACAAGTGATCGCGAGCCGATAAATACCTGAAGTGATAGGTATGTCGAGGAGATCGTACACTTGCAGGTTGGAGAAGGTGGACTCGTCCCGTAGGATGATGATCTGGCTACTGGCGGCGATGACTAGATGGGCGGCGGAGTCGATTGAATCTTCTTGAGTATAGTTGCAACTCTCGATGACGGCGAACTGCTCTGTCGTAATCGATCTTTCTTCTTTTATTTGGGGGTCTTCCCATTTAATTCTCATGCCTATTTTTGGTAAGGTTAAGTTTTATGTTCAATAGACGACTTTTTGTGTATTAGGTTCCCGATTCATTCGGAAGATATGTCACGTTACACAGGAAGCGCGTTGCGAATTCGTGGGAAGTACAATCATTTCTATCGTTGAGAGAATTTTAGATATTTTATTTTAACCCCCTGTCTTTTTTCCAAAGTTTCTCTACCTAGCTCGGGCTCTCACACTAACAAGAAAAGTACGACGTACGGGGGCGAGACCACCACTAAAACAACTGAGAACATTGTGATGAAAATTTGCAGGCCGGCATTGTGACGATGTCACAATAAATAATCGCTGTGTTATAGTTTGGTTTATTTGGTTACTGCAATGCCACACGTGGGCGATCTTTCAAGGGGAATGAATTTCAGGAAGACTTTTATGTAAAGCCGGGCCCTATTTAGGTGTTACTAACGTGAAGAAAACCCAGAAAACGGCACGCGACCAGCTCGTTGGCCATGCCTGGAACCCACGACTGTCGGTAAGACGAGGTGAAAGTAAAATTCTACTTCAGAAACTGTGGGAAGATATTACCGTATCCGGTAATTGGCTTATAATTAAACCTCCGCCTCCCGGCGGTAACCTAGCCCGACGGCCATCTTGGAAATCCAAGATGGTCCCTTTTTTATTCCTTACTCCGTAAGGGCGTAAGGAATAAAAGAAATCCGACGGTAGGTGTCGCCATCTACCGACGGAGGGCGACGTCTGTGCGGGGAAAACTAAAAAAACTAACCGAAACGTAACCCGAGAACGGAACCGGTGCGGTTCTTCCCGGCCGACGTTTCTCTTTCCGGTCCACGTGGTCGTCTCCTCAGTCCCCCCTCCCGCGACGGCTTCGGGGACATCGGCCTGGATCCGCCGGCAATTTTTCTTCTATTTCGTACGGCGGGTCTGACGAAAAGACGAAAATCCGGAAGAAGTCAAATAACTCATTAAACCTTTATACAAATGATAAAACGAGAACCTTCTACCGACGGATTTCGCATTGAAACTAATTCCCGTCGTCTTGCACGGGTGGGGGAACCCTTCCCATTTTTTGCTCGTGACTTCCGGGCGAATCGCGCTTCCCCTCTTAATGACAATCGTCGGAGGTTAAAGAAGTCGACGGAACCCGAAAAGGGGGAAGAAGAACATCGGCATTCTACCGTTGCCACTGAGGGGCGTCCGGCCGATAAAAGGAAGGCTTTTGTCACGGATAATCCGCTCGGAAGCTTCGTCCTTGTAGAAAGTGAAGAAGGGGGCGAGGACGACGGCGATTTGGAAATCTTCCAGACGTTTCGTAAAATGCGGGGATTAACCCGAACGTGAAGTAAAAAATAGAAATTATCGCAAAGTCCCGACGTCACAGTCCACGTGATGCCGCCTTAGCCCGAATTTTTCCTTCCGTCGAAGAGGGTGGAAAGAAACCGCATCCTCCGCCATCTTTACTTTCTCTACTTCTACCGTTTTCTAATCCATTATCTAGCGCCGTAGTCACCGAGCTTTCGAGTGGCTAGGCCGCCTAAATTTTAATAGACCCCCACTTAGCCCGGACGGGGTATATATAGGCCGGAAACGGGTCGTAATCGGGTTACAGGACCCAAAATGTTGGTTAAACTTGAAGTTTGTGGTAACGAAAAGCCGGCGTAAATCGTCGTAGGGGAAGATCCCCACGGTATTCTTCCTACGTTTTAGTTTTCTATACCGGAAGTGACAAACCGGAAGAATTCCGAAGACGTTTCCTTCCCCGGACGTCCTCTATTCTCCCGCATTAAGTAAATAATAAAATGAATTAACACGGGCGTGTCTAACACAAGTTGTGGCCATTGTCCGGTTAGTGGCTTGGGAATCCTCCCTTTTCCCTCGAGTTACTATTACTAGCGCGTGGACTGTAGCTGATAGTGTAGTGCTGACTGCGACACTACACTATCGGCTACACTCCACGCGCTAGTGGAAATACCAGTCATTCTCCCTTGTCGCGTTTAAGTCTTAATTTTTTATCGCGCGTCTATCCCCGCTCCCTGGCTTTATCGGATAATGTAAATCTACGATTAACACGTTAAATTAATAATAATCACTCTCGCCGGGCGGAAAAATTAAAATGATAAAGTCGAAGGTGTTCCTACTAACACCTATTTACAGGTGAAATATATTTGTTCAAAAAAAAGAAAAAGAGGCCCGCTAAGGACAGAAGAGCCCCGCTGTATCCCGGGCCCCGTACCCAAGTTTGCACGGCCTTAGCCACATGGCTAATAATGTTATTGGCGTTGGACGTGCTCGTATGTAATGTATTAAACGTACACGCTTACAGAGTTAACCGAATTAGAAATTCTGAGGGATATTAACGACAACGAGCATCCCGTGAAGAACTAACTTTTAATTATTAAAAATACGGATTAACAGCGATGCGGACAGTAAAGAATGCGGAAAATAGCACGATAAGACGATAGATTTCGAAATATACTTTTGCCTAAGGCCGGAATATCTGCCAAATACGACGTTTATTCTAATAATAAGCGCATCCTCTATTGAGGAATGCCAGACTTATTGTATTCCCTCTTACTTTATGTTAAAACCAAGTAGTATTGGGTCGAATATTTCGTTGTCGTTCGAATAATAATAAACCGAAAAAGTTACCGAATTTATTCCATTAAAATATTGGCCCCGTAATAAACGGCCAGTTGCCAGCCGAATAGGGTTGTTTATTAAAGTAAATACGGTACCGTCGAAAAGCAAACACTACATAAAGATGGGGAAAAGACTAATCCGTATAGATTAGATTCGTAAATGCAACCGGCACACACAATCGATCGATTTGCTTATTCGGGACGGCCGTGGCCAATCACTTTACCCGTATCTTCTTTAAGGGTGACCGTAAAATCCGGTATAGAAACCAGTGACCACTCCAATTTTCCACTCCGGCCAATTCTTGTTTCGTCCTACAAATTATATAAATAATGCAAAAAATAACATAATGTCCGGCCAATTTTCCCGTGTTATACCAATTTATTAAGAGTAACTTTAATATATAAAGCGTATGTATGGTATGCTTTATACATTAAAGTATACTGTACATATGATAAAAATTTCCATTTAAAAATTATTTGAGTTTAATAAAACCCTACCACACTAGATCGATATTAAACTGTGTGAATATTAAAAAATAACTTTTATATTATGAATTATTATAAGAGAAATGGAGAAACGTAATTGCGTAACTTTCCCGACAAAAAAATACAACGTAGCGCCATCTGTTAAGAGATTTTATTAATACGGTAAAACTTTTTTATATTAATAATTATTATAATGCGATAAAAAGTTTAATTTTGGGGGTAGAGACGAGTTTTGTAAAGTCGTAAATTGTAATAACCAGTAAAC